CAAAGACGCATGGACATTTAAGGAGCTCACACACTAGTGTCACAAAAGCCTTTTGTAGAATTTAACTCACTATACAAATTAGTTATTGGTTGTAATTTACTATAAATACTTATTCAATAAATATTGAGCAAGTATCTGCTATATTCTAAGCCCCGTGCTTGGTGCTGGGAATACTGGAGAATATAAGGTGCATAAAATATAGTCTCTATCCTTGAGGAATTTATAGCTTGAGATAGAGTTATTGAAACAAATAGCCAAAATGTCAGGAATTACATAATGTCAAGAATGAAACTCCATAAGAGAGGCAGGTACAAAGCACTTCAGGTCCATAAGAATGGTACTTAGTGCTAACTACCTGTGAAGGTCTCGGCAGGCCTCTCTGAGAAGATGGTATTTGATTTGGATTTGAAGGATGAGAGGAAATCTGTAAAATGGAAGACAATGTGGATAGACCGTACTTGTAGAAAATTTAGGGTGAAGAAATCCAAGGTAGAGGGTAATAGGTTCTTGTTACTAATTCTGATGAGTATGTGTGTGCTTGTGTGTGGGTGGTGATGGGAGGTTTCCCCACACCAATAAGCAGTTCTTGGACACCAGCTAGGTATCCTACAATTCAACTCACTCCTAACCCTACCTATCTAGAGACAGCATCAGATCCCACAGGTGAAGAGTTCAGTCCTACAGGACTGCCCCCTCCTCCCCACCACCACTTCAGATGCAGGTATCAAGTTCAGGTTGTCACTTGTGCTTTTGATCTACCAACCAGCTACAGATTGGAGGTTCCCACAACCCCCTCCTGGGCTATGATACATTTGCTACAGTGGTTCACAGAACTCAGGAAGCCCATTTACTCACCAGATTCCTGGTTTATTATGAAACCATAATTTCTGTTATGGTTTCCATAACAGAAGGAAGGAAGGAAGGAAGGAAGGAAGGAAGGAAGGAAGGAAGGAAGGAATGCAGGGCAAGGTGTGGGGAAAGAACGTGGAGCTTCCAAGCCCTCTTCCATTTCACAACTCTCCCAGCACCTGCATTGGCCATTGGTGATCGATCTCAATCTCTAGTCCCTTTCTCCTCCCCGGGGGCCAGGGGAGGGCGATGGAAAGCTCCAACCCTCTTATCAAATGCTTGGTTCTTTTGGCAACCCCCAGTTTCAGGTGAGGTCCAAAAGTTACATCTTTAACATTACAAAGGACACTTTTGTTGTTTTCTTCACTTGGAAATTCTGGGTGTTAGGAGCTCTGTGCCAGAAAGGGCAATGAAGACCAAATATATATTTCTTACTATAAATTCCAATATCAAGGGGGAAATTTCCAAGGTCTGAAATGTTGTGAATTTGTTCATGTACAAGGGCATATGAGATTAACTTTGCACATGAGACACAGCTAACTAACTACATGACTTTTCTCTAGTTAACACAATGGGTTCATTCTCTTCCTTCATATTTGGGCTAATTCTGGTCATAACACCTTGGCCTTCATGGGTAGATTGTTTATTCTGTTTATTGGAATTTCAACAATATCTTTGCATTTGCATAAAATGTCTCTTTTAAAATGTATTAACAGATCAAATGTAGTATGGCAATAATGTGTATTAAATAATGTATAGTAAAATGAACAAAATAGAAAATATTTATGTTAATATAATCTGAAATTATCTCTGTAGAAGACAGATATTATCACTTAGTCAAGTTTTCAAAATGCCCAAGATGTATGAGTACTCATATGCCCTTCAGTATTGTCGTTTTATCTCTGTATTATCTTTTTAAAAACCAGTTTCTGAAACCCTCAGCTAAATTCTTTTTCTATGCTGTTGTTCCTTGGAGGTCTGGATATAGAAGTCCAAGGGCACATTTGGCTCAGAGAATTGGACAGAAATCCCATGCACTGGCACGTTGACGCACCACCCCGTTGAAAGTATGTTGAATCGGCAAATGTGAATTCGAGTTATAGCAGAGAAATGTCTGCAGAGATTTGCAATCTATTTTGATGGCCCTGAATGTCACATTTCCTTCCTTTCAGAAAAAAATGATCCTGTCATTCAACACCTGTAAAATTCAGGTCTTTTAACATGCTATGATCTTATGACTTGTACCTGGCACGGTGGCAGTTTTCTATTTCTTTTCTTAAGCTACAGTCTCTACCCCTCATTTCTTCAAACTTACAACCTATGAATCTCTGTCATTGATATTCTCTCCTCATAACCCTCTTCTTCTTTATTCTGATCCTATCATTCCAGGACTCCTTTACTTACAGTTTGCCCCATAAAATACCCTAATTTCTCTTCATCCATATTTTTCCATTCATTTCCCTTTCTTTCTCATGGTTTTATAGACCCTGAACTCCTCTGCTTTCTCATCATTCACTAATTAGCATGTCTCCATGGTAACAGACAGTTGCAGAGCGGGAATCATTCTCTGTACCAGCTACTGCTGAGTAACCTCTGGGCCTAGCAAGGAGGGGCCTTGACCTGATTAAGATAGGAAGACTTTTCACTTCTTGGCAGGAGAGGATCCATACATTTCAGAGAAGGCCCTGTTTCCTAGGGGAAGGAATAAGTCAATTTGGTTGAAAAGGAGTGTATACTTGGACTGAGGCATGCAAAATCAAAGTATGAAATAAACTAAGAAAATACTAAAGAAGAGGTAGGAAAAATATCTAACGCTGATGCTCTGCTCCTGGTGTGTAAGGATTAGCAGTACTTTGATCTGGAAGATGCTATGAAGCAAATGCTAGCAAATACTTGGTAGCATTTACCTTCTAATTTTACATGTGGAATTCAGTAAGTGTGTGCCATGGGGGTGAGTCAAAATAGAGAAAAACCCTACTTCCAGTGTTATGAGGTTTATTTATCATTATTTAAAATTTTATGTTCACTCTTTTAAGCTATCAACCCATAATCATATACTTACTAAGCAACTAGAATGGTATTAATTATTAAAGAAGTTTACTGTTGCATTTTTAAATAACTTACATGGCATTGTATAGTGCATATAAGAACACTTTTCCTGTATATTTTCCTATGATTTAGAGGCTAGGAAAGATATTATTACTCATAATTTATTGAGCACCTATTATGTTTTTGACACTGAACTATGTGGTTTGCGTGTATTGTCTCTGAACTTTGTGACAGATTTTCAAGATAAGAAACTATTATTTCAAGTTTGTATATGAAGAAATTGAGACTCACAGAGGTTAATTATGTCCCCAAGGTCAAAAGCTAGACAGAGCCTGGCATGGGACTCCTGGATACCTGAAACCAAGTCTGTGTGCAGATACACATTACCTGTACATTCCTATACGAAGGCGTTTTATTAGTAGAACGCTGTATGGGCACAAAGTGTAGACTCCTATTTTCACAGGAAAACTTTCATCAGTAAGAAGGAGAGGCCGAAGTTTGAGGTCTCCTGTGTTGGAAGCTATAGTAGCTGAGAGGTTGAGGACCCGAAGCAGCAGACAATTTTACTGGTGTCAGGGCATGAAATGTTTTAGCAACATGTGGAAACTACAAGAGCAGGAATTTATCGCTTAAGAGCTTGCTGGTCGTGTTGCAAGCTTGTGTAAACTGGCTGTAAGCATTTTGTCCCCTGACCTATGAACCTGGGCCTGGCATTGTTATCCCAAGAACTCTGCTCTTAATGGCAAGTGGGGATGAGAACTGGAAGAGTGCTAAGCAAGCCATCACGCTCCTCTCTCCTCCGTGTCTCTGATGGAAGCATCCCTTTTCCAAATTTGAATGAGAGGTTACCAGTCTGTGTATTGCATTCTGGCGAGTGAAGGTCAACTTACGTCTCAAATTTGATTGGAACTGGGGAAAACTATACCCTTCATTCAGCTTATGAACACAATGTCTGACATCTAAGGGGGAAAATGTATTTGTTGATTGTCTTCTGTATGCCAGTTACTGTGCAAAGTGCTTTTGTATGCAGTTGGTGGTGGCCGTTGAGGGTGCATCTCTCTGATCGCCTTTCCCAGGGAGTGTAACTGTCTGGCCCCAGCTGCTGTGGTCTGAAATCTGTCACTAGTTTTGTATAGAGGCCGAGAGGGTCTGGTCACTAATTCCAATGTATGCGTGGGGGAGGGTTTCTCCACATCACCAAGCAATTCTTAGACACCAGCTGGGCATCCTACAATTCAACTAAATTCTGACGTGGAGATGGTGTCAGATCCCACAGGTTAAGGACTCTGTCCGGCAAGAGTGTCCCCACAGCTCCCACTCTAGACACTAGTCATAAGCCCAGGTTGTTGCCTGCACTTCTGACCAACGGGCTATAATCAGAGGTTCCAATGACTGCCTCTTTGGGTTTGATTAATTTGTTAGAGGGGCTCACAGAACTCAGAGAAACATTTTACTTACTAGGTCATTGGTTTATTATAAATGGAAATAACTCAGGAGCAGACAGATGGAAGAAATGCAGGGCTACGTATGGTTGAAGGACACTCCGGTGAAGGACACTCTCCCCAAGTCTCCAAGTGTTTATCAACCCAGGAGCTGTCTGAACCCTGTCCTTTTGGGGTTTTAATGGAGTTTCATTTCATAGGCATAATTGATGAGATCATTGGCCATTGGTGATTGATCTCAATCTCCAGTCACCTTCTCTTCCCTGGGGGGTGTGGGACTGAAAGTTCCAAACTTCTAATCATGGGGTTGGTTGGGACCCTGCCCCCAACCTTAGGTGACCCAGGGACATTCCAAAAGCCTCCCATTAACATAACAAAAGACACCTTTATGGAATCGCTTAGGAAATTCCAAGGGTTTTAGGAGTTTTGTGCCAGAAACAGGGACAAAGAGCAAATATATATTTCTTTTTATAAATTACAGTATCACAAGGCCACTCTCCTCAAGGGCTGCCCCTAGCCAACAACTAGGCACGGAAGGGCGGCCAAGGCAGCTCTGTTGCTGGGAGATAGAGAGTTCTCCCCATCAGCTTTGCTGCACTTTCTTAGAACTACCATTAAAAGTCTTCCACTCAATTGTCCTTTCCACCCTCTCCTTGACAGGGGCCGAACTGCCGTTGGGTCTGACGCCTCTCCCAGCCTCCACCTGTTCTCGCCTCACTTTACCTCACAGATGTGTCCCCTGATGAACTTCCCTGACACCTGCTTCTCGGAGGACCTGTATCGACACGTTGTCTAATTCAGTCTCCCCAAACTTAGGAGCTATTGATGACTATAAGAAATTGAGCCTCGCGGATTTTGAAGTATGCATTCAGGTCACCCTGCCAGTGAGTGGCAGTCTTCCAACCCACCTCCGTCTCTTGACTCGTCTCATTGTGCCACACTGTCTAGGACAGCTTACTGTACATGTATGTTTCTTCTTTATGTGCTACTTTGCCAGTTGACAAGTTCTATGGTAGAAAAAGGAATAGGTAAAGATTAGCCTACAGCTCTCTGCCAAAAGGGAAAACAAAAAAACAAAAACAAAAAAAGATCTGGAAGGCAAGTTGTTAATATAAAACGTTCACCCTTTTTCTAGAGGAACTTACAATTTAAGCTTCCCTGTACGTGTCACTGACAGGGAGCTGTCTGGCTACATGAATATGTTGTTTTTCTTTTTTTTTTCTCCCTACACCCCTTTTTAGGTAATTCAGAGCTGCAAGTGCTGAATCTATTTTTCAGAGATAACATGCGAATTTGTGACATTCCCTGTGGAGTTTGAGGTCTGGGAACCTAGGAAGAGATCACAACGAAACACAAGCATCGCTTCCAAGTGCTAGAGTGATTATTGTCTGGAAGTCTTAGCGTTATTTAAAAGGCAGCTTCTTCTCATTTGGATCAGGCAACGGTGTGTTTTCTGAAGGCGAGAAGGCCTTTCTATAAAAGCCAGTACAGAGTGGGGCTGCAGGCTGCTTGTGTTGCAGCAGAGGCCAGCGGCAAAAGCCACGGTAGCCGCTTCAGGGAAGCACCAGCAAGTGGAACCGATGCCTAATGAATGGAGGGCCCAGTGGGGAAGTGAAGAAAACAAAGGGAGACTTTTTTTTTTCCCCCTCATTTCCCCCACCCCCACCCACCACTTTTTTATTCCAGGAAAGAAAAGTAGTTTACTGCGATTCATTCCCACACCTGGTGAAGGTTCAAGAGGACAGGGAGCCTGAGGACCTTCACCTGAATGGCTTCTTGAAAGATGCTGTGTTCAGATCTTTGGTGCTAGAAGAACACCGACTCTTCTCCCTCTTTGCTTCGCAGGGCCTCCTTTCATGTGATTTAGAAAATGTATTCTTCTCAGAGCTATGCCACCGGTCTTGTGCTCCTGCTACCCATCCGTTCCCTCTATTTCTCTGGTCGGGGCCCCAAGCAAGAGCAGGCACCTCGATCACTGAGTCATTTCCTCAGATGAGTCTACCGCAGAATCTTAGCTCTTGGATGGAGGCCCCCACTGTTGGTCTTCTGCCTCAACATTCCTTTTAACTGAATGGTGTCCCGCTTGCCTCTCCAGTTCGTCTCTCGTGGCTTCTTCACACCAAAACAAAAGTGCTTTCTGTTCTAGAAGCTTCCATTTTCCCTATGCCACATGCCTTTGCCCACGCTGTTTCTTCCCCCAGTAGCGTCCTGTGCCCCTTGCTAACTCCCTTGCTCTCTGCCCATTTGGTGCGTGTTTAATTCCAGGAAGACGGCGTTCAAGTGAAACCTCCGCGAAGCCTTCCATGACATCTCCAAACTCGATTAGTTACTTCATTCTCTGCATGTGACGGTAATTTTGTTTAGCGGAAATTAATTTTGCTTCTCTGTGAAGATACAGATTCACATTCAGTAGATTTTCTGAGTGACTACTAAGTGCCTGGCACTGGAATGATCACTTTCACATACTGCACTTTTCGAATTTCTTTTTGGTGAAGAGACCAGAGAACATGAGCCTTTTGGATTGAGATGCACTAGTATGGTATTGTGAAATTACTCTTGACTCTTCAGAAGAAGGAATGGGTATACATATGAGGGGCATTTTTAGTCACTTCTAATTTGATAAAAAAAACAACACAACAAAATCTTTGTTGTTCGAGGTCTCTGACTTCCCCAGAAGTTTTGGGGAAAATCGTGAACCCCGCTTCCAGTGACCCTCTGCCACACGAGGACACATATTAATGATCTCTGTAGGTCTCTTTGGAAGGTGCATTATGTTATCACACTTGCCGTGAGCTCTGGGGGCCTCCAGACTCCCTGAGTGGCAGTAGGCATAGGCCCTGCCCCGTCCCACTCTGCATGGCCACCTGAGCCATGAGCAACCCAATCTCAGTCACTCCTTCTTGTAAGGTTGTAAGTAACAGCCAGCATATCTGCAGAATGCAACAAGTACCACTGTTTAATGTGTATAGGATTTTTGACATGCTAATTACATCCTGCTCCAAGCCGTGAGGCGTAGGTGATCAGCTCCGTGAAACAATCAACAGTCGGAAAAATAGCTTTTATTTTTCACAGAGATGACTGTGAAAAAACATGTTTTGCTGTTGATAACTCTGCTTTTAGTTGAAAACACAGAGCACAGGCTGGTAAACTATAGCCTATGAGTGAGCCCGTTCTGTTGTTTCTTTTCACATGTAAAGGTTTATTGGAACACAGCCAGGCCATGTGCTTACATATTGCCCGTGACTGCTTTCACATTATAAACACAGAGTTGAGTGGTTGCAGAGAGGTTGGATAACCCACAGAGACTAAACTACTCACTGCTTCGTCCTTTGCAGAAAAAGTGTGCCGATCCCTGACACGGCAATGCAGAGTTCTTCCAGAAACCATCAAGGCAAACTCTCCAACAGCAAGTCCTTACCAAAAGCCTGATTGCAAGAATATTTTTCTCTCAGATCTTAGTATCAAGAAAGTTGGGCTTGCTCTTGAGCCACTGGTGAGTTTGTAATCTTCTGGGCTCTCTGAGTCCTGGAATGGACAGTGTCTTTCTTTCAGTTTTGGCTACGAGCACTTCCTGAACCAAAATTGCCCACCTTCTCTGTAGGTCGTATCGATCTCTACTCACTTTCAGCTTGACCTCTCTTAAATCCTCTTGGCTCTGATTACCTGTTAATTTTCACCTGATAGTCTTTATGGACATAATTGGTGGCAAAAGATTAGGTCTAAATAAATATGTAAGTATGTACATAAATACGAGGTACTTTTTGCACATCCATAGTCTGTTGTCTAGAATGAGCTGCTGATCTATTTCTACTTCCTGGATCAAAAACTCTGAGGATACTGGCCATGTCACAGGGTGCTTTGCACATAGAACATACCCAATAAATGTGTGGATTTTTTGTTGGCTCATTTTTGGTTTGTTTTGTTTATTTCAAAGCAAGCTAGTTTAGAAAACGTTTCAAAGATCAGCATATTTTCAACTTAAATTAATTGGCTGCTGTTGGTATAAATAATAGTCTCTGCAAGATGCTAATGTTGATTCTTTGGTTGAAAAGTTGACTTATTTTCATGCTTTTATTAATAAAAAAAGACAGTAATTGTTATTATTTATTAAATGGCTAGCATTATCTGATGCATCAATGTACATTGTTGAACTTTTCTCTCCTAGCAGTGTGCAGTAGTCCTCGATGTTCCCACTCGATCAGATTGTGAAATAAGACTCAGACACCACTCCTTGCTTGGAGGGAATGTACGGGGCTCTGACCACTGATGCCTGCAGGAGTCTGGCAGGTGATGTCGGTATACGAAGGGGGTGGGTGTACACTGTGGGGTGGTGGGGACCTGTGAGCACGTGTTTGGCCGAAGTGGCAGCTGACACTCAGCCCCAGCTAACCGGGGGCTCAAATATCAGCTCACTCACTGTTGCATGCGTTTCCAGTTGTTCAGAAACCAGAAATCCAGATTTCCAGTGAGATGTTTTCATTTTAAAAGCATTGTTCAGGCATAATGAAACGTGCTGTAGATCAGGTCTGGCACCTGTACCACATGTCTTCAGACTCTTGGTGAAGACCACGGGGGTTGGGGCAAACTTCTCACCTGTGAATCTGGATTCTGGACATTCTGATTGGCAACATAACCTCCCTAAGCCTCAGTTTCCATCAAATGATGCTAACAATAGTACTGATTTATACCTAACAAGTCCAGGGCATTTAAATGCCAGTGTCAGACATACTGCAACAATCAGAATGTTGATTCCAGTTGTATTTTGACTTCCTGATAGATTTTGGTGAAGTGTTTAGCCCATGCCTGTCATGTTGAATATAACTGTGAAATGGTTATATACTTATGATTATGGCATAAGGACACGTAGCTAGTAATTTCCTATCTAGGACCTGTAACCAGGTCTTCATGGTGGCAAAGCCACATTCTTTTCTTTTGGTGCAGTCCTGATTCTCATAACTCAGTATTTTGTTACTCTAATTTTCCAGTTGTTTATCACAATAGACGCAGACCAACAACTTGGGAGCAAAGAGTTTCTTCATTTCACTAGTAGACCTATTGATGCTGTCTTGTAAATGAGCAAGCATAGCTGTAAGCATCAAAGATGACAAGAAATATCGAATAGAAGGAAGGGTTTTACTGGGGTGAAAGGGTTACATAGACAAACATGCAGTTCAGCTGATAAATACCTCTTTACTGGTATCGTCGCATCAAACCGGTATTTTTACTAAGGGAAATGATTAGTATAGTAATGTACCAGTTTCCCTAATACGACCTTTTTTTTTTTTTTTTTTTTTTTTTTTTTTTTTAATAGGAAACTACATACACTACCTGCAGGGTTATTTTGTCCTTAAAGATTTGGGTAAAATACTAGCATATTTTGGCATATAGCGGCAGCACCGAACAAAGGACTGGATTTGGAAATGGAAGTCACAGATTCTACTCTCAGTTCTGCATGTAAATAACCATGTGATTTTAGGCAAATCACTCCTTGTATGATGATTAGAGATTATAAACCTAAACTACCAAGAGTGAGAGTATTTGTGGGAGTTCTTTGTTTCTAGATAAAAGTACAGTATTATCACTAGAGTTATTTATATATGTGATGATAGTGGCATAGAGCACACATGAAATCATAAACACTTCTCTACTTGGGAATTAAACAGTGTTAGTAGCTTCAATAACAGAAAGATGCACTTTCAATTGTATTCCTTTTGATTTGGGCCTCATAGAAATAGATAAGTTGAGGTGTTTAATGTCTTTTTTCTTTATTTGTTTTTTGTTCTACCCTGAGAAGCAATTTTGCTCACAGCAAAGAGAATAAAAATGAAGGACTTGAGGAGAGAACAAGAAGTTTGGAATAAGTAATATAAGGAATGTACAGTGGAGATGCTTGGAGTACCTGTATGAAATGTTACGGAGACTGAAAACCCCAGTTGTGTGTAACGTACATGGATTAATTAGCATATTTCATTTTTTTCATTATTATTACTATTTTTTTTGACAGTATCCAGTACTCTGGACACAGGAGCAGAGACACAAGCAATACGTATTCATACAAGACTGATTATTATCCAGAGGAATTCAGGAAAAGAAAAACAAGGTAAATATATCAAGGGTTTTGGAGACAGAATTATTTGCTTGATAAACAACAAGGTGTTTCAGGAATAATGGAAAAGGAAATGGGGAATGAAGGTCCAAAGGAGACTGATTTTCATAGAAAATGTCTATATACTTTAATAGTTATTTTTTTGTGAGAATCTGTGAGTGTTAAACTCTTTTAGTCTCTGATGTCTGAAGAGGTCTGGTTATGACAGTTTAGGTGGGTATAAAACTGCAGGCTTACTGATTTCCTCCTTAAAATTTAAGAAAGCCATTGTATTCTGGCATATGTTTTTGCTGAGGGGGAAATATATTGTGTAATTGTTGTTCTTTGGTTGGTAGGTTGGTTTTTTCCTCTGGTAACTTTTATAATTTTATCCTTATCCTTGATATTCTTCAGCTTTCTCTCATGTGATGAGGCATGGAGTTATTTTATTTATGTTGGGACCCAGGTATTCCTTCAGTTTTGGAAAATTCTTGACCATATCCCTTTAAGTATTGTGTTTCTAACATATTTTTCTGAAGTTAGATATATGTTTAAGACTCTCATTCTATCCTCTATGACTTTTTGAAGGTTTTGTTTCTTTTTTCTTTAAAAAATTTTTTAAACATTCATTTATTATTGAAGGACAGAGAATGATGGAGCATGAGCGTGGAAGGGGCAGAGAGAGGGGGAGACACAGAATCCAAAGCAGGCACCAGGTTCTGAGCTGTCAGCACAGAGCCCAATGCAGGGCTCGAACTCACAAACTGCGAGATCATGACCTGAGCTGAAGTCGGATGCTTAACCGACTGAACCACCCAGGCACCCCTGAAGGTTTTTGTTTCTGTTTCTTGTCCATGATGTATTAAAAGTAATTTCCACAATATCATCTTTCAATGAATTGTGACTTGTCTAGATATTATTTTGGTTTATGAAAATTCTTATTGCTCCATATCCTTGCTAACACCTGGTATTAGTTGTTTTTAGCTTTAAGCATTTTGATAACTGTACCAAAGTGGTACCTTATTGTGAGGTTGGCACCTTTATATAAATCTATTGATTCTTTGGATATTCTTTTTTAAGAATACCTGTTCAAATGTCCTACGTCTTTTTCATTGGATTGTTTGTATGCTTCCCTAATTGATTTTTATGAGTTTATATATATTTCAGGTATAAACTTTTCTTTGATTAAATTGTTGAAAATATTTTCTTCTACACTGTGGCTTACCTTTAAACACTCTTGACAGTGCTTTTTCTTTCTTCAATCAACAGAACTTCTTAATTTTAATATAGTTTAATTCATCATCCTTTTCTTTATTGACCTGCTTAAGAACTCTTTTCCTTCCCTAACATCACAAAATATCTTATGCCTATTATTATTATTATTGTTGTTGTTGTTGTTGTTGTCAGCCATTCACATAAATATCTACAAACCATTTGGAATAGATTTTGTCTACAACATCATGTAGAGATAATTTTTCTCTCTGTGGGTATTCAGTTATGCCAGTAACATTCATTAAAAGACTTCTTTTTCCACTGCTCTGCTGTGGCACCTTTATTATAGATCAGTGTTTATACATGCAGCAATCTGTTTCTGAGCTCTCTATTTTCTTCAGTTGTTCTATTTGCCCACCCTTTGTACTACCAGTATATCATCTTAATTTTATAGCTTTATAATAATCATTGATATCCAATGATATTTCCTCTTTATCTCAGTTATTCTTGGCCTTTTGCATTTTCAAATAGAAATTTAATAATACTTTTTCTCTTTAATTTTTTTATGTTTATTTATTTCTGAGAGAGAGAGCGAAACAGAACACAAGCAGGAGAGGGGCAGATAGAGAAGAAGACACAGAATCCGAAGCAGGCTCCAGGCTCTGAGCTGTTAGCACAGAGCCCCAACACAGGGCTTGAACCCAGAAACTGCGAGATCATGACCCCAGCTGAAGCTGGACGCTTAACCGACTGAGCCACCCAGGCACCCCAAAATTTAATAATACTTTTAAAATCAGCTTGTCAAGTTACACGCACATCCACAAAACTGTTCGGAGATTGAAATTACATTGGGTCTATAGATAATTTTAGGGAGAATTGATATCTTTATGATATTGACTATTCAGTTGATCAAGAATTATCCTATGGGCATTTAGATCTTTAAAATTCTTTTCAATGTTATTTTATAGTTTTCTGCTTAGAGATTTTTTAGTCTCTTATATTTATTTCTTTTTTTAAAATTTATTTATTTATTTTGAGAGAGAGAGAGAGAGAGAGACAGAGACGGAGAGAGAGAAAGAGCACAAGTGGGGAAGGACAGAGAGAGAGAGAGGGAGAGAGAGAATCCCAAGCAGGCTTTGTGCTGTCAGTGCAGAGCCTGACGCGGACTTGATCTTAAGAACCATGAGATCATGACCTGAGCCGAAACCAAGAATGGGACACTTAATGGACTGAGCGACCCAGGCACCCCCTCTTATATTTATTTTTAGGTATTTGATATATTTTGGTATTATTATAAATGATATTTAAAAAAAATTATTTTTGTGTCTCTAGTGTATGTAGATTCAAATGATGATTGTAATTAACCTTTATCCAGGAAATTCACTTCTTTTTTTTTTTTTTCAAAAATTTATTATGGAAATTTTCAAACATACAAAAAAATAGAATCGTGT